ATATGAAAAATATGAATTTAAAAGCGAAAAAGCTTTTGACTGCCGTATCCGAGTAGGTAGAGATTCCGTGTGTCGCAGGTTCAAATGCCGGCACATGGAGTATTTAATTGTTAGAAACAAATTTATTAAGATACAAAATTTATACATTTCACATGAAATTTCAATTTGTCAATAGCATTTTCAATCTTGATAATTTATCAAGAAAAGTGCTTTTGATTTCTGTGCTAGAATACCAATTCTTGATAAATAATAAAAAATTGACAAATTATAAAGATTTTAAATTTATCAAGTACACAGAATCGGGCTGTAAAAAACCAATATATCTCTAAAACCAATTACGCTGGGAACTGAAACTTAGCACTGATGTATATATTGCAAATGCATTGGGAAAGGGGGCGTGGCTCCTTCCTTCCATACAAACTGAACTTCCCATATAGCTTATCTCTGGAACTACTTACGCTAAAGTCCTGAAATTCTACACAGCTACATTTTTTATCAATACCGTACTTATGGCGAAAAGTGGTAATTATTGGAAAGACTGCATCGATATACGTTTACGTAAACGCGCAAGTATCACTCGATTGGGAACAATTTTCTCCTAGATTTCTAAATCCCATTGAAATATTGTAACTTTGTTTTTAGTTTTTAGTAAAAGGTAAAATTTATGTGAAAATTTTGAAGAATTTTTTTAAATTTTGCACAAAGAATGGAGCTTTGATTTTTCGGGTTTCGTTATAGACTGCCCTATATCTACATACCTATTTGCATAAAATGATAGCCGTTTTCGTTGTTCGGAATAAACTCAGAAACTACTGAATAGAGTTCCGTCAGATTGTCGGAGGTTATCTGACATATGTACATATGTTACATGCTACTAGAAAACTCGCTAAGTGGTGCTGGAGTAGAGCTATTTATAAAAATCGTATTTATTAACCGATTTCGTTCAAATTTTAAATGTGAGCTATGTACCTGTATGATGGAAAATTCTTTTGATAAAAATTTACCCGATTAGTGCCGCGGGAGTGAAGGTTGAAATTCATAACACGTATTCATTTTATGGTAAGCAATGGTTTTACAGAAAATGAACCCAATGGATGGCGCTGCAGCCGAAATGTATAGAAACCCCGTGGTTGGTCTGCTTTGGCCCTATGTTTAAGTTATACGAATTTAGTTTTCAGATGTCTAAATGAAGGATGGGGTTAAGTTTGTAAAAGTGGTGAATTAACAAGGAAAGATCACCGTAGGTATATCAATTGCTCCATTTGAAAGATACTTAAGAGATCACACGACTCATTTAGCAATGAACCGGAAAACTTTTCATCCTATAGGACAGCGAGGATTCTTGGCCCTCCTATAACAGAAAACTCACTTCTGTGCTCTTGAGTTTCCCTATAAGAACTTTTATTGGCATACGCATCGCACCAATGTTTTAGTTGCAAGATCATACAAAAAGATTACGCATGTTTGGCAGAGATCTCACAGGTGGAAATAAGACCATTGGTAAAGCTCATGACACCAAAAGGGATAGGTATTCCATATGGTATCACAGCGTTACTATTATTGGCCTATGTGTGAGGAGGATACTGCACCTTAGTGGTTTCAACTTAAATCAAAAATTTTGACTTTACAGACTAATTTTGTTTTTAAACGCTCTTTTGCATTGGCCAACCAAAAGCTCTTATTAGGCGCCGCGAAGTAAGCGGGCATTGGCTAGTTACTAATAAAATAATAATATTTTTTTTTTATATTATGTGCTTTTTATAAGCGTGAAACGCAAAATAATTACTATAACTGGTGTTTGGTTTCAAATTCGGACAAACTAGACAACTTAATCAGATTTTATTTTTAATCGGATTAACGATTAATTATTAAAATTAATTAATCGTATTCGCAGCCAGCGATTAATGATTAAAAAAATTTAATCATTAATCGTACAGTTGACTACGTCTAATTAATTTTAATCGTCAAACGCGATTAACATTTTGATCGTTAAATGCTAATCGTTAATCATATTAACATTTTTCCAACACTGTGTGAAATCATATTCATACTCACGGAGAAAAATGGACGTTTTTGAAAAAAAAGGCGTAGCACCTCCCATACTGACTGAAAGTTTCATATTGCATATCTCATCAAATGTTTGGGGTATAGTACTCAAGCTTGGTATGGAAATCCATACATATGTATATATGTGTGTGAAACTAATACCATACTCATGGAGAAAAATGAGAGTTACTGGAAAAGGTGATGTGGCAACTCCCATGCAAATTGATTTTTCTATGCTGTATATCTCTGGAGGTGTTTATTGCGGAACTTGGCACGGAGATGTGTATACAAAATTAATTCCATACTCATGGTCAAAAATTTGCGTTATTCGAAAAGGGGGCATGGTACCTCCCATACAAATTTACTTTTTATACTGCATGTCTCTAGAGGTGTTTATGGTAGAGTACTGGGACTTGGTACTGGGGTATGTAAAATCAATTCTAAATTCATGGAAGAAGATTAGGGTTATAAGAAAAAGGGGCGTGGCTACGGTGGCCAGATGCGCTGATTTAATCAGTACATGTGCTGATTTTTTTCTGTTGTACTGATTTTTAAGAGCCCGAAATCAGTACGCAAAATCTACTGATCTTTTGAGTTTGTACTGATTTTTACATTTAATAAATACTTTTGTAAATTGTTGTAATTTACATTTACTTGAGGTTTACATGTTCAAAACAATGGTTTTTGACAACTCATACGTGCAAGCAGGTTGAAAGCATTAATTAAATTTAAACCATTATTAAAAAGGTGTCAGCTTGCAATTGTTTCGTTTCCTAGGGTTTCACAAAATAACAAACTGTTTGGATTCAACCCAACCCGATTTGCAATCACGATTTGCAGGTTTTACAGGATTTACAGGAAAAGCTGGTTTCGCCATTAATAGATCTTATGAAAGGTGGTGGTGAGTTAATCATATATTAAGTACACTGAGAATATGACAATAAGAGATAATTTTTTGATTATAATTAAACATCCACTGAGAAATCGGCTGTCAGTATTTCAAACTTAAGACGACTGCTACGGTGCAATGTAAGTTCTAAAAATTCGGAAAAGGTGCAAACTACCGACTTGGATATGATATATGTAGCTTTACTTTGATTTTTGATGTTCGACCACCTGTAATTTTACCTGCACATACACATTTAACACTATTGAATTTCATTCGTACTCGAAAATTCGTTTAGCGATAATTCGGTAATATACCTTTTAGTCAACATTTTAATATGAATGTTGTATTTAATAAGCACTCCAACTAAATATGTTTTAAATTTGTAGCTTAAAATATGCAAACAGATTCTGACTCGGGCTCGTCTTCTACTGAAACTGAATGGGCTACAAATTTTTTTTTAATTCTCTCAATTTTTATAAATTTTCTAGAAAGTTTGAGACTTCAACTCACATGTCTTTTGTTATAGAATGGTTTTTATACAAATTTTAAATTAAGTAAGGAAAGAAAAAATTTTCAAAACCTGTCTATACATTTTACTACTATTTTCCTGAGCACAGCTGTACATACATACGTAATACCTTTGATTTATTTTAAAGTTATGAATTTTTATATTGACAATACTATATGTATTTAAAAGTCTATTAGTTATTTTTTGTTAAATTAATGCGCTGTTATTTGGTTGTTATATTGTTAATAATAAAAAATACGCTTAAATATGAGCTGATTTTTATAGCTTTCTACTGATTTTTGATCCCAACTGCACTGATTATGTCACTATAATATCTGGCCACCCTAGGCGTGGCACTTACTGTACAAATTGACTTTTTCTTGCTACATATCCCTGGAAGTGTTTATGGAAGAACATTGAAACTTGGTATAGAGTTGTGTATACAAACTGTGTCAATTGCTCTTGGAAAAAATGTGAGTTATTAAAAAAGGAAGCATCTCGCCTCCCACACCTACTAAAAATTTCTTAATAGATATCTCTGGAAGGATAGAGAGTCTCTGGAAGTATTTTAACTTTGTTATGGAGATTTATTTTATAAGTGCCGTACTGACAGAAAAAATTTAATTTAATGGAAAAGGGTTCCGGGTTCGGCCTTATAATCTAAAGCTCTCATGATACATACCTACCTCTTGAGGCATTTGCTACAATAATGAGAAGTGGTATTTTATCAAGGCCAGGTTACTAAATTTGAGTTGGAAATATTAGAACCTGCCGCGGCACCTCCAAGAAAGTTACACGTTCACGCGTCGTATCCCTGGAACCATGTTAAGGTTAACTTAGAGGGATTGATATCTTTCGTATGCTTAGCGCGCAGACGAAATTTTATAGTTTTATAGTTTTAAACGGCCTAAATAACTTAACACCTATAACAAAATGGGCACAGAAATAAAATATAACATCATTAAATTATTTTTTATATTTGTATAAAAACGTGGGGTGAAACCCGCGGGTATAAGCTAGTTTTATATATAGTATAGATTAAAAGTTCTTCTAAAGCAATTTGCTAATCAAACATGAGTAAATGAGTATTTTCTTTCTTCCCATACATTTGCAGTTCTAATAAGTTATTTCGCACTTAAAAATCATGATAATAAATCTAAATCCAAATCTAAAATAAATTTCCATATTTTCATAAATTGAAAACAGATGACTTTGGTCTTGCTGGCAAATGGCTGCTGGTAAAAATTTTTCCAGCAGAAACTAGCAGCTTTTCATCAGAATGAAATGTCAATTTGGACTCTCAATTTCCCTACTTTGCTGGAGTACGCGAACAGGAACACAACTATCAAAACCTATCAAACTATCAATACGCGAATAAACCTACTTTTACCATTTGAATGACCTCAAAATTTCAATTTACAGATCACAATGGAATGTCGTTTCAAACCATATTCCTCCGACAGAACGCATCTATACGGTTAGTGATTTAGTTCCTGGTACAAAATATCAATTAAAAGTTGCGTCTCATAATAATGCTGGGTCTACAACGGCAGTATACAACTTTACTACACTTTCACCACAAGGAGGTGCATATTTGTGTGTATTGATTACTTCAACATACTGAATATTTCCTTTTAGTTATCTACACAACCGATCACGCGAATCCTGTGTCCCATATGAGCGATGGACCCTTTTATGCGAATTTTAAAGTGCTACTTCCTGTCTGCCTTTCGATGTTTCTATTATTGGGTATAATAGCAGCGGTTTTACTCATACGCAAAAGAAGTAAGTATAATATTCAAAATACAGCAAAACTTGCATTACTCGAACTTCTATAATTCGAATATTCTATAAGTCGAACAAAATCAAGTGGCAATAGCGTTTAGAGAGAAATATACACTCATTTTTAGTTCCATAACTCGAACTTCTCTAACTCGAATTTCTCCATAACTCGAATACAAATTTTGGCAAATGCTTCTGTAAGTCGAATAATTTGGGGGAAATCCTAATTTATGCACTTGGTTTTGTGACTTTGGTTTTTTTTTTCAGCGAATCTCTTATTCGGGGAAGTACTTATGTACATAAATATTGTTAAGCAAACGCTTTATTTTCTTTCTTTGTGTAACGTGACTGGGCAACTTTTTGAAGAATGGATTTTAAAACTGGATAAGCACTTGCAACGTGAGAACCGAAAGTTTTTAATGTTTGTCGATAATTGTCCGGCACACCCAAAGCCGTCCAAAATAAATTGAAATCTATTGAATTGGTGTTCTTTCCACCGAATATGACAGCCAAATTAGGGTCGTAAAAGAAGCCTTAAGGCGTATAGAGGTAAACCAAAAACAGGATGTTACTCTTATTGATTGCATCAATCATATCTCAGAAGCTTGGGATATTGACATTAGTAAAAAAAAAAATCGCCAACTGCTTAAAAAAACCTGGATTTAGTCAGTGTTCTGCATGGGACGAAGAGGACGACATACCTTTAATTTACCTTCGTGGATTTGATGAAATAAAAACTTAATAAATGCTGAATACGAAGAATGGCTAAGAATTAGTGAAATAACTTCCAACGCCGCTCTTCAGGATTACTGAAAACTCCAAGAGGAAAGTAGATTTTCTGTCACTAATTTCTGATTATTTTAATCGATTGCAAGTTTTACATGTGAACTTGATTTTGAATTAATAAATGTGTTCATTATTTAAGATGTATCTTACATAATTGTGGTTTCTTAAAAATAATAATATTCTTTAACTCGAAGTCGCAATAAGTCGAACATTTTGATTGGATAATGGCGATTCGAGTTATGGAAGTTTGACTGTACTTTAATTGTAAATACATGTGTTTTAAACATCAATTACTTGAAACATTTTTAATTTTTTTATAACCGAAAAAATAAAAAATAAATATTCGGAAGAAAACGCAGCGTTACGGTTTCGAAGAACTGAACACCAGTTAAATAAAACCTTAAGAAAAACAACAAAAATACGTAAACTATGGATGCGTAGCTTTTTTACGGTTTTTCAAAACTTTTTTTGCAACGTCAAAGAGATTGTGAGCCACGCTCTTTAGGATTCTGACAATTTCAATACAACGGATATTCTAGGCGGCCGCCATGGTGTGGTAGTCAGTAGTTCGCGCTACCATTCGAGCCCAGTTTGCGACCAATATAAAAATTACAAAATAAAGTATTTTTCCAATAACGGTCGCCCCTAGGCAGGCAATGGCAAACCTCCGAGCGTATTTCAGCCAGCGTTGCTAAAGTGACGATTTCGCCGTTATTTTGACGTGTTTTTTTTAGCTCAATGACGTTTTGACTATTTGCGAGCGACAAAAAATTATGATTTTTGAAGTGAAACTTCTTAGGCGGCGGTATCGCAAAAATGGAAAGTGAGATTTTTAAAACTGAAAATGTTACATGAGTAAGAAGGAAGATATAGTAACGGGTGATTTTTTAAGAGCTTGATAACTTTTTTCTCATCGGTTCTTTATTTGAAACGTTAGATTGGTCCATGAC